TGTGGCCCACACCAGCCAGCGGTGGGTGCGGGCCTGCTGGGTGCCAGACTACAGGCAGGGGTGCGATGGGCTGGCATCACCACAGCCTTGTCCACTTCTGAGCCACACCAACTTCTTTTACCTCTAGACCTTCATCAGTGAGCTCCTACATACCCATAAAACCCCATCCCTGACAGTCAAGCTTGGGGCCCAGCCTGGGAAGGTTTGTTAGCCACGGGTCTGTCACTGGTATTGTTCTTTTCCCTTCTGCAGGGGTGGTGAACCCTGAGGTCCAGAGGGACCCCTGCTAAGTCCCTGCCTCTCTGGAGCCTCAGTTTCCCTCCATGGGCCCTGCAGGCCCAAAAGGGAAGGCTGGTCTGGTGTGAGGAAGCCAGGGACGGCGGCTGCGGTGCTGCTTCCCGGCACCAGCGTGGTTTCGCGCCTGGGAGTCTCCAGGCCCTGCATGGAGCAGGTGAGCAGCCTGGCCACGCAGGGGGGTCCTGGCGAGGAACAGGGAGCCCTGCGGGAAGCAGGGGGCCCCAGGGAGAGTGGGGGACCCCAGAGAGGAGTGAGGGGCTCTGGAAAGGAATGGGGAGTCCTGAGGAGGAGCAGGGAGGAGCAGGGGAGGATGTGGGCCCCGGGAAGGAACCGGGGGTCCCAGGGAGGAGCAGGGGTCACCTCAAGGAACCCCAGGAAGGGGAACACCTAGCCCTGAAAACACACACACGCGTCCCCCCCCCAGCTTCTCACCTTCTGCCCCGCAGGCTCCGACCAGCAGCATGAGGAAGAGACCCACGGGCCCCACCACGGACACCATGCCAGGTCCCCGGGCGAGCGCCATGCTTGGTAGCGGCCTCCTCCCCAAAGGGATCGGCCCCATCCCTCACACAGAGGCCACGGCCTGAGCGTCCGAAGGCGCAGCGTCTGCGGAGACAACAGAAGGGCCATGAGGAAGTGGGAAATGTGGAGGTCTTCCTGGAGGGGTGCAGCGGCTAGGAGGAGGAGGAGCGCCCGGTACCCGCAATGGCTGATGGCTGTGTCCCTAAAAAAAAGGAACCCTCTTCAGGGATGAGGGCTGGACGGGCCCAGGGCAGAGAACCTCAGGACTGGGCAGGAGAGCCCCCCCGTGGGCAGTGCGGCGGCTCCCGCCTGTAATCCCCGTATAGGGAGGCTGAGGCCGGTGGACGGTGCGGCCTGCCTGGGCCTCCTACCAAGATCCCGTTGCAAAGAGAAAACCAAGTGAGGCTCTGACTCTCGGAGCGTCTCGGGGGTGCCCTGACCCCGACATGTGACTCAGACACACTGTCCCCAAACACACGCCGGCCGGCCGGCCGCCCGCTCGCTCTCGCCCACTCGGATGGCTCCCGTGGCCCCCAGCCTTCGCCCTGCTCTCTGCTTTCCCTGCAGGGCGCAGCGCTTGGCTCGGCGGCCGTTTCCCCAGAAAGCTTGGTCAGAGGCAAGCACAGGCTCCTGGCCTCGGCCCCAAATCCTCTCCTCGGCCACACCCCGTCTCTCCCATCTCCACTTCGGCCAAAGCCAGGCAGGGGGGATGGAGGGGGCCGGGGATCTCCGAGGCCCACCCGCACCCCACCCAGGCCGCTTCCCGGGCGGGTCCTGGCCATGGCCACAGCCCAGAGCCACCCTGTGATTCTGCCGCCCAAAATACCCTCTGTGGTCACCGTGCCCAGCCCAGGGCCACCCTGAGGCCAGCTGACTGTCACAGCTGACCATGAGTGGCCCAGTGACATCCCAGGGGACAGGAGAAAGCAGGTAGGACAGGGGCTCAGCACGCACAGTCAGACCACAGCCACACAAACCCCAGATGCACACAGTCAGACCACAGCCACTCAAAACAGATCCGCACAGTCAGCCACATAGTGGCAGGCTCGGGCCACGGGGCCAGGCCTGAGCACCACCCTGAGGAGTTGGCTTGAGCCGGAGGGTACAGGACACCTGCTCCCGTGGGACCCCAGGCCGGGGAGTCACACACGGACGGGTGTGCATACAGCACACAGTAGATCACACCAGCCAGGTACCACACACCCAAAGCCTACACCCTGCCTGCCACACACGCATGCAGGCAGGCTGCACACAGCCACGCACAGTCAGACCACGGAGATACTCGTGGACTTGGCCAGGTGGGGGACACAGGATGGACAAGTGCACCCACGCCCAGCCCCCATCCCTGGTGTCTTCAAGGAGGGAGGGAGGCGGTGGCCACTGGGGCTGGGTGACCACAGCGCCTGCCCCGCCAGGGCCATCTGCGTGGCTGTGGCCACAGATGAGGGTTCAGGCCCAGGTCACTAGGGTCAGCTGGCAGGCTTGAGAGCTGCTTGGGAAACTGAGGTAAAAAAGACTGCCCACATGCCAGGGGCCATGGGTGGGGGTCACCTGCAGATGGGGCACCAGAACAGGAGGTCCCTATCCCAGCTGCCTCTGTGCACCTCAACGGGAACCCAGGAAGACCCCCCTCACATCAAGTGGGCACCAGCCAGGGCCCACAGGGGCCAGGCAGCAGCCCCCCAAGCCCAGACACCCACCCCTCTGCCCCCAGAATGGCCTGGGACCCTTCAGAAACCCATGGCCCGTCCTTCCTGGCAGATTCCCACGTGCAGTCTGCTCTAGGTGATAAAAATACCAGCAAGCCCCCCACCTGCCCACCAGAACCAGCTTCTGCTCATGCTCTGCCCTTCACAGCTGCCAGGGGGCACCAGTGAGCTGAGTCCGATCCTGCCCCTGCCCCTGCCCCCAGCCTTCTCTGGTGCTCACCTCCCTTGGGGTCAAAGCCCAGGACTCCCTGTGACCCACAGGCTTGGCACCAACTGCTCTGTCCCCTTCCTGCCTCCTCCCTGCTACTCCAGCCACACGGGCTCCCTGCAGCTCCTCCACCACTGGGCTCCATCCTGCCCCAGGGCCATTGCACATGCACCCAGATTTAATGTTATTAATTGGCTGGAAAGTAACGACTGAATGGAAACAGGAGTCTCCCTGCGCAAGTAGCAGCACGCACGGGCCGGCCAGGAGCCCCGGCAGGGAGAGCCACAGTGAGCCTGGCGCCCGGCCAGTCCTCCACCTTACCCCTCCCTTAACAACGTGGCCTGGAGTGCTTGCCTGACATAACTGGGATGGGGAAACTGAGGCAGGGGAGCGGTCCTCAGACCCCCAGGGGTGGGGGGGCACTCAAAGGGACTGGCTGTCCACCGAGCGGCAGTGGATGCTGGGTGGCAAGGCAGCGAGCGCGGGTCCCACCTGCCTCTCGGAGCAGACTGGGGGTCGGCAGGACCGGGTGGCCCCCTCTGGGAAGGGGCAGGTGGATCCCTGGATGAGGACCCCGGGGCTGCACTTGTGAGGGGAGAGGGGGAGCGGCACCCATTCCAAAAGGGCGCCCGCTGGGGCATGGGGCACGCGGTTCGGCTCTGAGAGCCCACGCAGGCAGGCGGGCGGTCCGCAGAGAATAAAGGGGGATTATAGTCCAGGCCAGAGCTGGCAGCCCACAGGCTCTGTGTCACCAGGCGTGTCCCGGCCACCAGCTCAAGTCCATCCTCTTTGGTGCTCACCAGCCCCTCCCTCCTGGGACTCCATGCCTGGGCCCCAGGAGGAGCTGTCCCTCCCTGGAACCAAGGGTCCAGCCTCCACTGACTAGCGATTTGCACTGGGAGAGCACAAAGGCTGGGGCACTGCCCCCCCTACCCCGCGGCAGTGAGAGGTAGGGTGCCAGCCAGACCCAGCCCAGAGAGAACAATAGTCCCATCTGCTCTGTGCTGGTGATTCTTTCCTGCCTGACAGGTGGGGAAACTGAGGCATGCTCATGGAGGAGTGAGCCAGAGCCCATCCTCCTCACCAACCACCCCACCCTGGCCAGCCTGTCCTGGGCTGCTTCAGGGGAGATTGGGAGAGGCCCACGGGTCTCACACCTGCCAGGGCTCCCAGGAAGTCCTTCACAGAGAACACTCTGACAGCAGACCCCAGACCCAGACACCCCCGCCCCAGGCTGAATCCCCCACCGAGCCCTGCTCTTCCTCTAAGCCTTCCATAGGCCCCACCATCCCCAAAGCCTCAGCCTCCAGAGCTGAGCTGTCAGCTGAGCTGTGTCCCCCCCAGGAGGCCCCCTGGCTGCCCAGGGGTGGGCCAGGACCCTCCGGAGCTTCCTGTACCTTGGGGAGTCTGCCAACCCAGCCCCAGGCCCACCAGAGGGGCCACGGAATGCCCAGGAATGCAACAAAGCCTCTGCAGGCATTGGTCGCCTCTGCAGGCCCGGCCGGACACTTTATGCACGAGAGGGACACTGAGGCTACCAGGCAGGGAGAGAGCCAAGCTGAGCTGGGCTACCAGGGTGTGCCCTCTGCATCTGCTCTGGTGTGTGTGTGGGGGGGGGCACCAGGTGAGGCTGGAGGAGGGAGGGGGAGGGGGAGGGCAGCCCTGGGTTCCCGGGGGACTGGGGGAGGTCTGGGAACGGGGAGGAGGGAGCCCCACACCAGGCCCCACCGGCCAGCCAAGGACTGACCCCAGGCCTTCCCTGGACCCCCGTCCCCGGCTTTGTGATTAAAGTCACAGGGGTCCCAGGAGAAGTTCCCCCCCCCC